GGAGCAAAACCGGTGAGTAGCGGGGGATATCCACCCCATTTGGGTTTTTTTATCGCCCTTTTTTTTCAAGCATTTCCCTTAAAATCAAAGAGACTGGACAACAATGAGCCGCTTCCCCTAAGCGTTGCTCCAGCTGGGGTGAAAACACTCCGGTTTATTATTTTCAAGGTTATTTTTTTTTTTTTTTCCCCCTCTTTGAAAGCAGCAGGGTTTGCTCGTTCAGGCGGGCAAAGGGGATTTCTGGAAGGAGGTGGCTGTTTGGAAATAATAAATAATAAACCCACCCGCTTCGGTGGTGGGTTTTAAACCTGCTCGTGATGGGAAGCGAGCCTCGAGGCTCACTTTGCTAAAATACCGGGCAAAAAGCTCCATCCCTGGCATTAAACCGGTGTTAAAATCAAGCCCTGAAATGCAAATTTCCTTGCAAAGCCATTTTTAAGCGAATTTGCTCTTGGAAAAAAAAAGTGAATTTTAAGCGAATTTGCTCTTGGAAAAAAAAACCCATTGGAAATCTGGTTTTTAAGCAGATTCATTAAAGAAACCGTCCCCAAGCAGCTGTCGGCATCTGGCCGAGGAAAATAGCTCACCCAGGTGCTGTTTTGGCGTAGATTGGGGGAATATCTCCTGCTTTGGGGCAGTTTGGAGGGAATAACTCCTTTTTTGGAGTGGTTTTGGAGGAACCTCTTCCTCCTGTGGGACATTTTGAGTGAATGTCTCTTCCTTTGGGGTGCTTTTGGGGGAGCATCTGCTTGTTTGGGGTGGTGTGGGGAGAATGTCTCCTCTTTCTGCACAGTTTCGGGGGAATCTCTCCTCTATTGGGGCTGTTTTGGGGGAGTTTCTCCTTTTCTGGGACCGTTTTGGGGGAATCTCTTCTCCTTGGAGGCTGTTTTGGAGTTATGTCTCCTTTTTTGGGATGGTTTTGTGGGAATCTCTTTTCCTTGGGGGCTGTTTTGGGGGAATATCTCCTCCTTTCGGGCAGTTTTTGGGGGCTCTCTCCTCTGGGGCTTTTTTGGGGCTATCTCGGTCTCTCACAGGCTACTGGAGGCCGACTCCAAGTCGATGCGTTCCATGAACGGCTCGCGGAGGAACAGCGGGTCCTCCTTGGTCTCCAGCTCCTCGGCCTCCTCCAACCTCAGCCACCTCGAGGAGGACACCTGGATCCTCTGGGGCCGCATCGTCAACGAGTGGGACGAGTGGAGGAAGAAGAAGGAGAAGCTGCTGAAGGTGAGGATGTAGCTTTATTTTTAATTCTATTTCAACCCTCCTGCAAAAATCTGCACCAACCTTCCCCGTGCTGGGACAGGACGATGTCTCCCCATCCACGAGGAGCTTCCCCATCTTCTCGAAACTCATTTTCTCAGGTTTTTGCCCCGTTTTTCCGCAGGAGCTCATCCGCAAAGGGATCCCCCACCACTTCCGCGCCATCGTCTGGCAGCTGCTCTGCAGTGCCACCGACATGCCCGTCAAAAACCAATACTCGGAGCTGCTCAAGATGTCCTCTCCCTGCGAGAAGCTCATCCGACGGGATATCGCCCGCACCTACCCGGAACACGAGTTCTTCAAGGGACAAGACAGCCTGGGACAGGAGGTCCTCTTCAACGTCATGAAGGTAACGTCTTTCCTTGAACGTCAACGGATCTTGGCCAGATCCCGGACACCGCTTCGGGTGGTGAAGCTGTTCTAACTGGATATTAATTTTTGAGGGGTTTGTTTTCCACCACAAACTCCTGGAACCATCACTTCTTGCAGCGTGACAGCCTTTTCTTCGCAAAGGGACCTTGTTCCCCATCCGTCCCAGACCTCATTTTTCCTGTTGAGTTTTAGTCTGAATTAAGAAACAAATAGTTGAGTATTTTGGGGTCTAAATTCAAGTGCGGAGCGACATCGTGCTCACAGGAGGTGTTGTCAACCAAAAAAAAGCTATTTTTGATGCCATGGTCAAGGCTTCTCTGCAGCGTTGCCCTCCCACAGCAAGCAGGGATGGTGACCCAGCCAATCCCCCTGCTCACACGTATATTTATTTTGAATTTTTTTCCTCCTTCCAGGCCTATTCGCTGGTGGACCGGGAGGTCGGATACTGCCAGGGTAGTGCCTTCATCGTGGGACTGCTGCTCATGCAGGTTTGTGCCAGCCCCGGGGCGAGGAGGAGCTGCCAATGGGTACGTGGTAGAATGGGGTTGGAGAATAGGAGCCTTTTTCTTGATCCTCAGGAGCAAAACGGGCTCGTTCCCACCATCCCACTTACCCCTGATAGGTTTAAAATCCCCCGTTCACGTTTCCCTTCACCCAGGGACAGCTCCCGGCACATCCCATCCCATCACCTGATGGGAAGAGGCTCTGCGTCCGGAACTGCCGGCAGAGGTTTAAGGGGGAATTCATGTCCCTTTGGGTCTCCAGATGCCCGAGGAAGAGGCCTTCTGCGTGTTCGTGAGGCTGATGCAGGAATACCGCTTACGGGAGCTCTTCAAACCCAGCATGGCCGAGCTGGGGCTCTGCATCTACCAGTTCGAGTACATGCTGCAGGTAAGGGCTGCCCCGTGCCCCCCAAAACACTCAGGGTGGTGGGAACCAGCAGGTAGAGCCAGGGGACAAGGACAGGGAGAGGTGGGAGTGAGGTGGCAGCTCTTGGGAGAAATGGGTTCCTCCAGTGGAGCGTGTGTCCAGCAACACAGACCCTGGGGACGTCCATGAGGTGCTCTGAGGACCATCCATGATTTCTCAAGGGGGACATCAGTGAGACCCCCCCCAAGGATGTCCACAAGATACCCTGGGGGCATCCATGAGACCCCCAAGGCACTCCAGGAGATGCCCCAGGGACCATGAGACCCTGGGGGACCATCTGTGAGAGACCCAAAGGAACCATCCATGAGACACCCCAGGGACCATCCGCGAGATGCCCTGGGGGACATCCATGAGACCCTGGGGACCATCCACGAGCCCCCCGCATCAAGGGACCTTCCATGAGACCCCTACAAGACCTTTTGGACCTGTTCAAATCACCATGAATGACCCCTAAAAACATCTACCCTTCCCCGTTTCTCTTCATTTCCCCCCATTTCTCACGTCCAGGAGCAGCTGCCGGAGCTGAACATCCACTTCCGCTCGCAGAGCTTCCTCACCTCCATGTACGCCTCGTCCTGGTTCCTCACCCTCTTCCTCACCACCTTCCCTCTTCCCGTGGCCACGCGTGTCTTCGACATCTTCATGTACGAGGTAACGGGGCTGAGGCCAACACTATAAATCACAAAGGGACCCCAACCACGGTTTCCGCTTGGATGTGGAAACGTTCTCCCCACGCCAGCTGGTCTGGTTTTGGGGAGGAAAAACCCCAAACCCCAGGTGGGAAAGGCGATGGTGTGGGGTCAAGCGTGGACCCTTCCCGCAGGGGCTGGAGATCGTCTTCCGTGTGGGGATGGCACTGCTGCAGTTCAACCAGGCTGAACTCGTTCAGCTCGACATGGAGGGCATGTCCCAGGTACGTGCCGGTGGCTTTTGGCGTGGATTTAGCCCACGGGATATGTTTCAGGGTGGATTTGTCCGACAGGACATGTTTTGGGGTGGATTTGTCCGACAGGTTGTGTTTTGGGGCAGATTTAAGCAACAAGGCATATTTGGGAGTGGATTTGTCCAGCGGGACGTATTTTGGGGCAGATTTAGTTAACAGGACGTTTTTTGGGGCCAATTTATGCAACGGGCTGTATTTTGGGGTGGATTTATGCAACGAGGGTGTATTTTGGGGCAGATTCATCCAACAGGCCCTATTTGGGGGCTGGTTTTACCCAATAAACCCTATTTTGGGGCTGGTGTATGCAATGGCCTATATTTTGGCGCCACGTTTCACGGCCAGTTTCCGCACCGCAGTACTTCCAGAAGGTGATCCCACACCAGTTCGACAGCTGCCCCGACAAGCTCATCCTCAGGGCCTTCCAGGTCAAGTACAACCCCAAGAAGATGAAGAGGTGAGATGGGGAGATGGGTTCCTGCGCTTGGCTGGGGTCCTTCCGGCAGCTGTGGGGCGCAGGGCCAGAGGGTCTGGTCCCCGTCCTCGTGTCCCAGCCTGTCCCCGTGTCCCGAGCAGGCTGGAGAAGGAGTACGCCACCATCAAGAACAAAGAGATGGAGGAGCAGATTGAGATCAAGGTGAGACAGGTCAAGTGTTGGCATCCCGGGGCCGCTTGAACCAACCTTATGGCCACTTGGCCCATCCCCTGGGCCAGCTGAGCCCTTCTGGCGTGGCACAGCCCATCCCTGGGGCCATCTAAGCCATCCTGGGGCCGCTTTGGCCCATCCCGGGGTCACTTGACCCATTCCCAGAGCTGTTTGAGCCATCCTGGGGTGGCTTAGCCCATCCCCAGGGCTTTTTAAGCCATCTTAGGGCCACTTGGACTCATCCCTGTGGTCACTTTGAGCCATCCTAGGGCCATGTAGCCCATTCCTGGGGCCACTTGAGCCATCTTGGGGTGGCTTAGCCTCTCCCTGGAGCCACTTGACCCATCCCTAGGGTCACTTGAGCCATCCTGGGATGGCTTAGCCCACTCCCAGGCCCACTTGAACCATCTTGGGACAACTTCACCCATCCCTGGGGCCATCTAAGCTATCCAGGGATCGCTTTGACCCATCTCACGGCTATTTAAGCTGTCCCCAGGGCCACTTAGCCCATCCTGGGTACCATTTAGCCTGTCCCCAGCACCTTTTGAGCTATCCCTGGGGACACTTGAGACCTCCTGGGGCAGCTTATCCCATTCCCAGGGTTATTTAAGCTATCCTGGGGCTGCTTTGACCTATCCCAGGGGCCATTTAAGGTGTCCCCAGGGGCCACGTAAGCCATCCTAGGGCCACTTGACATGTCACAGAGCAGTTTGAGCCATCCCAGGGGCACTTTCTCCCATCCTTGGGGACGTTTAGCCCATCCCTGGGGCCATTGGAGCCATCTCCAGGGCCATCTAAGCCATCCTGGGGCCACCATGACCCATCCTGGGGCCATTTAAGCTGTCCCCAAGGCCACTTAGCCTGTCCCCAGGGCCATGTAAGCCATCCCGGAGCCACTTTGTCCCATCTTCAGGGTTGTTTGACCCACCCCAGGGCCACTTGACCCACCCCCAGGGCCGCTGGAGCCACCTGGGGACAGCTTAGCCCATCCCCGGGGCCACGTTACCCCCATGTCCCCATGTCCCCAGGCTGTCCCCAGGCTCAGAGACTCCCCTGGGGACGTCAGACCTTCCCTGGGGTTATTTCTTCCCCATTTTCCACCCCCCAGCGCCTCCGCACTGAGAACCGCCTGCTGAAACAGCGCATCGAAACCCTGGAGAAGGTAAGCTGGCACCCCAAAACCCCCCTGGGGGCACCCAAACCCCCCCCGGAGCACCCAAAAAGTCACCTGGAGCACCCCAAACTCCCCTGAAGCACCCATGCCACTCCGCCTAAAGATCCTGGCACCCATGGGTGCAACCCTGCTATCTCCAGCACCCTTTTTATGGGCCGCACCGCCAAAATCTCCCCTCCCAGCACCACTTTGGTACAAAAAAAGATGACTTAAGTCCAGTGAGCAGCCGCTGCATCATTTTTCCACACAAAGTCTCCCTCCAGGAGGTGGGAAACACTCCATTTTAGGGCAAAACACCACCATTGCCATGTTTTCCCCTGCTGGCATGGGGGAAAAAGAGCTAAAATCCTTGGAAAAACCCCCAAAACGGGGACTGATGATGCGCGGGAAGGTCGCCGGGTGCCTCCGCCTCTCGCTGCCTCCGTCCTCTTCGTTTATCTCGTTACGTCTCTCCTCTCTTTCTCTCTCTTCTCCGCCGGCGGCCGCAGGAGAGCGCGGCTCTCGCCGACAGGCTCATCCAGGTAGCGTCAAAAATAGCTATTTTTCTCTTTTCCGCTGCGTTTTAACCCTTTTCTTCCCCCTTTCGCTTCCCAGCCCGCCTGCGTCCAGCTTGTTTGGGGAAGATTTTGCCCTTTTTCCTGCTTTTCCGGAGGCTCCCGCGCCCCTTCCCCGCTTTGAGGGGGGTGGAAGGGAGGAGGATTTGGGGGTGGTTGGTGAAAATGGGAGGTTAGGGCCCGTTTTGGGGCTCAGCGGAAAGCGGGGGGGACAGCGCGGTGGCACTTGGGAGCGGGGTTTGGCCAAGATGGGGTAAAAGCCGCCGTTTTGGCATCGTTAACCAAAATACGTGGCTTTTTGAGTGGAAGGTCATGGGGTGAGAGGGGCTTGGAGGGGACAAAATGGCCCCGGAGGTCCCCACGGGGCTGGTGTCACCTCTTTATCCTCAGTGTCACCTTCTGTGGGGCTGGCGTCACCCCCTTCTCCTGGTGTCACCTCCTGTGGGGCTGGCATCACCCCCTCTCCTCGGTGCCACGCACTCCGGGGCCAGTGTCACACCCCTTGTCCTCAGGGCTGGTGTCACCCACCACAGGGCCAGTGTCACCCCTCATCCCTGCTGTCACCCCTTCGTCCCCACTGTCACCCGCTGCTGCTGTCACCCCTTCGTCCCCACTGTCCCCCGCTGCGGGGGGCTGGCGTCACCCTCCACGGCTGGTGTCACCCCCTTGTCCCCAGCGTCCTGCCTGTCCCCGGCTTCACCCACTGTGGGACTGGTGTCACCCCTTGTCCCTGGTGTCACCCCTCGTCCCTGGTGTCACCCCTCGTCCCTGGTGTCACCTGTCATCCCTCAT